ATCCAGTAGATTCACATCATCGACATAGGTCAACAGCTGATGTGTCCCGTTTAATTTCAGTCCCACCTGGTTTCCCTGGACCTTCCTAATTGCATATTCTAAAGCAAAGTTGAAAAGGAGTGGCGATAAGGCATCTCCTTATTTTAGACCATTCTGGATAGGAAACTTATCAGACAAATGTTTACCTACACGGACTTTACTATACGTTTCGTTTAAACAAATTCTAATCAACCTAACTAGTTTCATGGGTATCCAAAACTCTATTAGAACATTGTACAATACTTCCCTCCTAACCGCATCGTAGGCGTTCTTGAAGTCTATAAATAGCTGATGTACTGTCTCATCATACTCCCAGTTTTTCTCCAGTATCTGACGAATGCAAATGGTCTATAGTTGATCTGTTACGTTGAAAGCCACACTGATGATCCCCAATAATTTCATCTATACATGGACTTGACCTTGAAAGGAGAATATTGGACAAAATTTTATATGAAGTTGATGGCAGTGATATCCCCCGATAATTACTACAGTCAGTTTTATCACCCTTCTTGTGAACTGGTACAATAATAGACTCCTTCCACTGATCAGGAAATTTTTCCTTATACCAAATAGAAGTAATTAGATTGTGGACCTTAGAACGTAATATTTCGCCTCCTGCTTGAACAAGTTCTGCCGGAATTTGATCACTACCTGGCGATTTATACCGTTTCAATTTTGCAATAGCAATTTCAACCTCAAAAGGGCTAGGATCAGGTATTAACGGCGCAGCTGTATGGATTTCTGTATGCCTAACAACACTAACCCTATGTACATTCAATAACAGAGAAGTAGTTCCTCCACCTGCTCAAAATGCTGTGGAAATCTGCAAGCAGGTCACCATTCTCATCCTTCACTAAGTTACTGCTAGATTGGTAACCCTTCTTAAAGTTATTTATTCCTCTATACAGGTCTCTAATGTTCTTGTTCTTACTGTTCATTGCAAGCTCATCAATTTTGTCTTTCAGATATTCCCTCTTTTTTTTCTGAAATAGCTGCTGGTTTCACGTCCAATGTTGTTCAGATTATCCCCATTTAACTTGCTTGGATCCTGTAACCGTTGGAATTTGGCTTGTTTTCTTTGGTCTAGTAATTTTGAGCATCGAACCGAAATCAGTATCATATTGAAATTAATTATTACCATATCACGATCAATACGAGATCAGTATCATATTGATCGTAATACGGTAATAATTCATTTCAATTAAAATTACATCATTTATTAGTTTGCATTCTTTATAGAAGCTGTGAAAGCCAGTAACTGACAAACACCGGAGAAAAACGAATGATTATGATGATGACGATTTATTTTATTTTGTCATTTATGTTGGTTAATTAACGTTGCTGTTGGTATAAAAACGATGGTGATGCTGCTGATGATGATGTCAACAACGACGTCTTTCTGGTCATGATTTGGCCACACATTCCATCTGTAAAATTCCTCAACATTGAATATCATGAAAATATCTTCATCTGAACTACGTCTGTAGCTGTAAATTCGTTTGGGACCGAAACTTCCAATCGTAGCAACCTCGGGAGTGGTCTCGTTGCTCCATTTGGCAAAGACCACGTCTCAACTCCTGTCAGATAAACGACGTATGGTAACATCACTCTTAAGTAAACCTGTATCTGGTGGAATATATTATTTTTCTAGTCATAAATTATTACCGAGTTTAGATCCCAGGAAAACATTCCGTGAAAATCGAAAAACTTACAAATGTGTTTGTAACTGAATACTAAATTAGGACAAAGCATCCTTACTTCGGAAACTCTGCTAACCTTTAGTTGGGTATACTGTATCATGGACATTTTTATTTGCGTTTCTGTAAGGGCAGTTGTCTATGTTTGAAACTTGAAATAATTTTGCGGTACCACATCAGAAGCTACTTGAAAAACGTTTCGTCGACCCTCATTAATCCATTGAAGAAATGGTTAAATTCTCCGTAGTTGTTTCATTGGGCCCAAGTTTCATAATCTAAAATCGGATCCCACATTACTCCAATTTGCGGCATGCAGTAGCAGTCGAAATTGGTTCCTGTTTTGTCAAGCGACAGTAGAATGTTCCTGTAGCAGCTCGCGGACAAGGGCCTGAGCTGAGATGAAGGTAACGGAGCTGAAGACAATGGAACGGAAGCAGTACGGGTCCCCCTACAGAGGAACTACTTACTCCCTGTTACGCGTGTTCACAGAGTCTCGCTAACGTACCGGGTGAAATCGGCGCACAAGGTGAAGCTCACTGACAAACAGCTGTTGCAATGGATGTTTCCTATATTGCTGGTGATGCTTATCTACCTGGGCACGTGGACCCTGAGTGCACCGCCAATAGCAGAGCAGATCCGTGACCAGGCGGGCCTCCGCTTCAAGCAGTGCTCCTACAATTGGTGGGACCACAGCCTGGCCATTGGTGAGTTCACTTTCCTTCATGTGTATGCATAGGTCTGTCATGGGTAACTGTTTTTCTCAAATTCCACCTGTTTTCATGATAACATGATAAAAATAAACAATGCCACAAAAGTTTCATTCAAACGTGAATTTTTTCTGTACACTCATTTTAGGGCCACTTCAAGCCTAAATGTTACCCCCTTTTGTCACGATAAATTCCTCCTGTTCCCTAAGTTACAAACAAATAAACTTTCTCAAAACTTCATCAAAAGCATTCAGCCCAAGAAGGCTGAATGTTTCTCCTTCTTTTAGGTTAACTACCTTTTGTCTTTTCTTTATTTACATCTATCTCTAGTTTTGCCAGCTGTTCCCATTATTGTGCTCATCCAAGTTAAGTGGTGACTAACTTTTTCCTCTCCTGCACAGCAAGTAATCCATAGAAATCCATTTCTTTAACTAGACATATACGAACAGTGTTCATTAACTTCATATTCAGCTCTGAATTCTTAATTCTATCTTCTTTCACTGTTAGCCATGTCTTTAATTACTCTTCTTCTTCACATCGATTGCTGCAGAAATCGGTAATACTGCAGGCAGTGATTGTTGCAAAAGAAACTGTAAAAAAGGGAAGGCGTGGTGGAAAATGTAAATAAATTTCTCGGTTGTCAGATTTTAGTCAAGATTTTGTGTACACATGTATATTGTCTGATTGTGATCCAGTATGTGCAAAAAAACAAAATGCAACCAATTCACAATAACAGTTGCAACCTGAATTCCAGCAGAGATGATAGTAAAAAGAGGAAAATGTAATATTTTGTGTTTTTACAGGAGAGGTATTATTCCTCTCTTGGGGAATAAAGGTCTGCTACAATGTGAGGAATGCAGAATCGCTGTATAATGAAGCCCGTCTCATCAGTTATGCCATCTACAATATTGCTCTTGTCAACACAGCTATGGTCGCCTTCCAGTAAGTAGCATATGTTATTGTTTTATCACTAAAGAAATTTAAACTTATCAATAAATTTATGATATTCCCCTGCTCACTGGGTCTTCAAAGGCCTATCTGAGTTAAATGTATTGTAATTAACTGTTAAAACAAAATTACATGTTTAATCTTAACGTTCCATTTCCTTTGATGATATAATAAATGTTGAAATTTACTCCAGGTTCGTATGCATTCCTCTTAAGAGAATCCTCAAGAACATAGCTTCATCACTACAATTAATACGCATATTATATTTATTTAACAGATATTATTTCCGGTTTTTAGCAGGCTATTTCTGGCACGCAGTAGTGTAGTTGGTTGAGGCACTATGCTACAAGCCGGAAGATTGCAGGTTCAGGTCCCGATGAGGTCATTGGATTCTTTTCAATTGACCTAATCCTTCCAGCCGCACTATGGCCCTGGGGTCGACTCAGCCTGTAACAGAAATGTGTACCAGGAATATTACTGGAATATTCTTGGGAGTGAAGTGCGGCTGGCGTGTAGGGCTGACAACCTTGCTGCCATCTGTAAGCTGATTGTCTAGAAAATGTGGGAACCTCAACATCTCACAACCCTATGGGCCACCACGGCCTGTTACAGGGATACCTTTACTTTTACTTTTTTACTTTTATTTCTGAATTTTCTAAACTAGTAGACTGTAAAGATCTGAGCACACACAACAGATGATATAGCAGTCAGTTTATGATTTATATCCAGGCACTAGAATAAAACTGTAGGCAGTAGTTTGGGTTACTGTTTGAACATGTAGTTGTCCTTTTTATATTATGCTTTACACTGTTTCTCTTATCAGTAAAAACAATTCTTCAGCTTACTTTGAACTAGCTTTTGGTATTCAGGTTTGAAAACTGATATGTAAAACTACTAGGTCATACCGGAATTGCTTCAGTTAATTTTTTGTGGATATAAACATATTTATTATTGTATTAACTTGAAACAGTTTCTTAGAATACAAATTTCTAAAGTAGCAAACTTTGATCAAGTCAACCTTTATAAAGTATTCTGTAGCATACAAATCAAATTGTATTAGAAAGACAGTGTGCTAAAGACCTGATTGAAAACTAAGATGAATGATAGGAAGCCCCTCTTTATAAATGTTTCTAGGTAAGTGTAGCAACACAGACCATTGATTCCATACAGTGAGATTGCTTTACATTATTGCAAGGTCAACTAAATCTTCCTTGCCAGTAGCCAGATTAGGAAGTACAAGGTGTAGTGAGTTGCTTTGTTCAGACTACGTTGTATTTTATCATGCATAGCAGTACAATGATTTGAAGTCCAGAGATTATGAACTGAACTCTGAATCTGACAATTTTTACACAGTTTGTACCAAATTATTTGTAACCAATTATCATTTTCAAAACTACCTGTTTTAAATTTGATTTGTTTCATTCTGGTCCATCACACTAACA